ACACCATGCCCAGTTTCATTTTTTATAAGTACTGCATGCATTCCCACTGCATACAAAGCTAGAGAATTTCAGAACAAAGGAGGAAAGGTATGACATGCCAGCTTGTCATGTAAATAAGGTTCTGTGAACATTTTTTTATAAAATGAAAAAATAAGTGGCAACAATAATACTAATAGTAACAGTCAAGTGAAACTGGGTTACCAGGCAAGATACAGTAAAAAGAAAAATCTGAGAGAAATGCCAGTAACGAGGGACTTTCTAAGCAATATTCAATGTAGAACGGATTAAACAGAGCACATCACAAGACATCTCTATCAAGTATGCGCTCAGAAAAAGCAGGAGGAGGAAACAAAGTAAAATCAAAGTAGAAGACAGGAATTACAGAAATGAATGCTAGCCTACTATAACGCTGAAAAGTGCAGAAGCTTGAAGAGGAAGTTATGCATGATATGCAGTATAACATGTCACATAAGTTTCAAGTAGGTTCCGATTAAAGCAACAGAAATGAACTTCTCCTGGGCAATTAAAACACAGATTTATTACTTTTTAAAACTTGACAGTACTATGCAGTCCCATGCAATGGAATAGCTTCAGAAGAGACAACACTACAAGAAAAAGTTGGCTACGCCTATGTCACTAGAGAAGTAGACCCCAATTCTGCTATTCCAAAAACAGTGCCTCTGCAGAGCCTACCCCCTTTCTCACAGTTTCCAGCATACAAATTCTGCTGCTCGCTGCAGGAAGAAAACATAAATGAAGTAAAAATCTGGTTTGTTATTTAATTTGCTGAAAATGCTGCAGGCAATTGCTAAAGAGATTGTGGATGATGAAGAAAACACTTAAAAATTCCAAAGTGTTTTTTTTTTTATTAAAACTTTCTATACACAGGAATGCTTAAATGGGCATTTATGGTATTGGGCATACCATAAATTTTAAAGGCTGAAACCAAAGAGAGTCCCTATGTGTTCATCTTTTCAAGGGAGAAAAAAACAGGCAATTTGTACACTTCAACTCATTTCCCCCTTAAAAACTAGAGAATGTAAGACTTTGAGAAAAACATCATCTGTGTTTTCAGGAATAAATCAGTCATGTTGATAGCTGTGCAAAAGGAGACACCCACAACCAAAGAGTGGTGGTGAAACTAATAATTAAGACAGGCAAACCTCACATTTTGAAGTTTCCCACTATATCAAAGGGTTTGATAATGTAAAATGCTTTTGTTGAATTTCCACTGAATTTCTAATTTAAAATTAGTACATTTTTACTAGCAATCAAAATACACCTTTTCATTTTTTTTAAAAAAGGACCATGACCAGTTCCCTTATCTAAAGATGAGTTGGCACAAAAGTGTGTTCTATGCTGCCCTTTTGGGCAGTCATTATTTCTGACTGAGATACATGGCCAAAGAAATGATCGGCATATGGTAAGGACTACGTTCAATGTTCTTCTTCCTACCACCATCCCTACTCCCACCACAATAAATATAGGCTATAATTTCTTTGATGGAACAGCACAAAGCCTCTAAGCCTGTAAGTTTTTAAAATTAAATCTTAACATCAGGGATTTGGGGGTTAAATCTGCTTTGTTCTGTGAAATCTCTGCTACCAAAGACCCAATTTATGAGCTTAATTGTCACAATTCACTGGTATGATTTATCTATCTGTTATTAGATCCATTCTCTTCCGTTCTCAGATGTTCTGGGATTTTCTCCTGTAACCAAATATGAGGGAGTGAAAGGAGGCCATGTGTAAATAAAGACACAATTAGGAGAAGGAAGAGAGCATGGTTTTTAGAAATCAAATCCTATATATCAAGGGTGCAGAATCTGAAGGCCCCAGGGCCTCATGCAATCCCCCAAAATCTTGGGAGATCAACAGCGTGCTCCAAATGTATGTATGTATGTATGTATGTATTATTTATATATAAAATTTGTCACCGCCCATCTCGTTGAAATGACTCTGGGCAGTTTATAGCAGAGATAAAATTAATTAAAATACAATTTAAAAACAATAATAAATAGCTTCCAAGAAAGATGGAGAATTGGCGAATAACTCAGGGAGCGTCGTCAGGGCGCTAACCACCCCCAGGTAGGGTTAGAGCTCATGTCGTCCCATGCACGCTGGCAGAGCCAGGTCTTTAATCCTTTTCGGAAAGCTGGAAGGGTAGGGGCCTGCCACACCTCGGAGGGGAGAATATTCCAAAGGTTGGAGGCAACAGCAGAGAAGGCTCTCCTCCTGGGCCCTGCCAGCTGACATTCTCTTGCTGACAGGGTCCGCAACATGCCCTCTCTGCCTGACCAAGTAGGACGTGTTGATTAATGGGGATGAGACGATCCCTCAGGTAACCAGGACCCATGCCATGTAGGGCTTTAAAGGTGATAACCAATACCTTGAATTGGACTGGGAAGCAATTGGACTCCCGCAGCAAAGGTGTTACATGTCCCATCCTAGGGGCACCTAATATCATCCGTGTGGCTGCATTTTGAACCAGCTATAGCTTCCAGATACTCTACAAGGGTAGCCCCATGTACAGCGCATTGCATTAGTCTAACCAAGAGATGACCAGGGCATAAGTGACTGACTGGAGAGCCTCCTGATCCAAGAATGGGCGTAACTGGCGTACCACACGAAGGCGGGCAAAGCTCCTCCTGGCCGTGGCTGCCACCTACTCCTTGAGCAGGAGTCACAAGTCCAGGAGAACCCCCAGATTACATACCAGGTCTGTCTGGGGCAGTGCAACCCCATCCAAAACCAAAGGTGGTAAGTTCTCGGATACAGAGGAGCCCCCAACCCACAGCCACTCCATCTTACCAGTGTTCAGCTGAAGCCTATCATTCCCCATCCAGACCCACACAGACCTCCATGCACCGCGAAAATTTGCCTTTCCATTGTAATAGAGAAAATGATTAAATATGTTTTAATTAATTTTATTATGTTTATATTCAAATTAGATTTTTAAAAATCTTAGTCCTACTCTCCTTTTGAATGCAGCCCGCAGCAAATAAAGCAA